GTGGCATTAATTTCATTGTACAAGTTGTACAATGACAATAAAGATTTCTATTCTATTCTATTCTATTGTTACAAAATACTGAAAAACCAGTAGTATTCTAAACTTAACTTGTGGTTCAGGTTTCTAGAAACAAATGTTACGCAAACATATAGGATTTCAGACCTGTCTAAACTTTCCTCACGTTTTCCTTTTCAGTTTTGAATTTCACATAGAATAAGTTACCTGAATCCATTGAGTCACACATACTTAAAAATAGCTTATAGCTTTCCACCGAGTTTTTTTCTTGACAGCTGAAAGCATCTTGAACTTGAGTGGGCCACTAAACTAACTAACATATAATTTCAAACTTGCTGCTGATTGCTGCTCACAATATTGATAGTATAATATAATGGCACATTTTATGGGACAGAGCCTCTATTCATACCTCATTTCAAATATAAATGAAGTGATTGGGCAATACAGGGAATTTTGAACAATGATGAAGTGTGCAGTTTCAGTAACATTTGAGTACCAAGACGTTTTGCAAAACACATGCAGTTTGAATATTAATTACCACCGATTCCATATACAAAGAGTTTCAGTGTATTGTGACTGCAGTTTAAAGATTAACCTCATTCCAAAGGCTGAAAATTCATGATGGTGAAGTGAAAGCCATGAAGGAAAGTAACATGCATTTCATCAGTACAAATACAATATTATGTTTGTGATTTCATTTCTCCATAGGAAATTACATAATTTGTAATGCACACACCTATATATATATATGGACACACACTCTTGTACACACACTCACACACACACTATACATATGGAAACAACATATAATTTCCTGTCTTTGCTCATTGCAGTGAAGTTAGGGGACTAAAACAAAACAAAACTCATTGTGTATTTTTGGACATCAATATCCAAATAAATCAGTATCTCAATGAATGTTTGCTTGATAACCATTCTAAATTAAGAATTGGCCATAATCATAAACCCTTGAGAGATAAATTGTCATGGATCTGTGCACAAGGTTTTAGTTAAATATAACTTCTCAGCAAAATCTTTGCAAGGAGCAACTTTTTACCAATCAAATCTTCATGTCAGAAAAAGTTGACCTGACTCTGTATTCCTGAAAACATATTTTGATATGGCACCAAATCAATTATAGATAATGCAGTTTAATTTCATTTCAAAGTAATACTTAGTAATTCAACTAACCTAATGGTGAACATCTCTAAAAATGTGATTCAAATCATATGGCTCCACTTTGCTCTAATAATTTCTATAACGTATTTTTTTACCTTTTGACGGATAGTGCATCTTTCAATTTCTCTTGAGAATCAGGGATCATGGGTTTATACACTGATAAGAAGATTCCGTGCAAGGAATTGGATACTTTCTAACAAAAATTTGTACTGCCTTGCATTCATGTGCAGAATTGTTACAGATTCAGTGGATCTCAAAACATTACTTCACAATATCCTTTCTCCCCCTGAAAATGTTGACTTAAAATCTTATTGTACAATTTCTGCATATTTAAGTTCCCTCTAGAAACTTGATCAACAGCAAGGATCTTTAGAAAGTTAATACTGTAAACATATGCTTGTGTATGTGTGTGTGTATGTGTGTGTGTATTTGTGTGTGCATGTGCAAGGATATACCATAATACATCTAATATTTACTAGTTTCCAGGGCTTTTCTTGCAATTGAATCCTACTCAGACTCAAAAGTCTGCACATATAGCATTTGGATATATACATGATGTATAAATATTTTCACACAATAAACCTTTGCATAAACTGAACGTCTTTAAAGATGGATCTCCCAACTTGAATCCAGAATCCAAAGGACTGAAATTTCAGTTCAGTCTCATTGGAGTGCTACACAGTGCAGCATAACATCCTCAGTTTATTAAGAAACTTAGCAAGAATTGTACCAATGAATAAAATACTTTGCCATCAAAGCCTTTTGTACAACTGGAGTTCTTTCTACTTACTTCAGTGGATTTTGGCATAGAGCTTCTATTAATAATGACAATACCTGTCTACATTCTTTACAGCAGTTTGTCATCAATGGCCACATCAATTTTTTCAGGTATGTGGAAGATGATGATGATGATGATGATGATGATAATAATATCTCAAGACGGCGTCTACTAATAAGCTTGCAGTATTTTTTTTTTAATTCAACTGCATCTCTTTTTGCTTCTTTTATTGTTCTCCTAGTCCTGGATATCTGAACTTACAAACCTATCTCTGGAGTCCAAAGTAATCAAGTCAAGGACATTTGTCCTTAATGAACATTTGCACTTCTTAGTATTTCTTATTTGCTAGAGCTATTTTCCCGTAGTTACCGTAGTTTGAACACCCATCAACAATCTTTCAGATTAGCAAAGAATACTATCTGTCACGGAGGCTTCAACTCAGTGATTCCTTTCATGATTCCATGTCTATCTTTGGGTGTTCCTTTCAACATTGCTGCTTTAATGGGATTAAACATATACAACAAAGGTATAGGTGAGGTTGGTCCCATCCTTGCAACCCTTCTGGAAAACCTTTAAAACGTGGTTTTTACAGCAACCTTGGGGATCCCATGTAGTAAGGTGACTGTTATTCTCCAGTGAACTTGGCTTTTTCATTTTGATTTATGTTCAGTGTTTTAAGATTGGTTATGTTGTTTTAATTGTTGCTGGGTTTGTATGCCATTCATAGTCATGTTATGTGAGATGGGTGGCCATATATATTTGCAAAATAAAATTTAAATTAAAAAAAAAAATAGAACCAGAATCACCTACTTCCAAGTAACTGAAATTTTGCTTGGAGTAATAGGTTGTTAACTACCTTCATTAACATGTTGTGAATCCAAACTCCCACATCTACAAAGTTACAGTTAGTCCTCAGAGGAAAAAGAACATAAGAATTGTTTTATTATGCTATATTCTGA